GAAGCGCTGCTCCTCTAAGTGTATACAGTATGGGCAAGCAATCAGGAACACATCATCACCCCCTGCCGACTCGGGAGCAGGCTACGTAAATTTGGCCGTATGAGAAGCACTGCTCCTCTAAGTGTATGCAGTATGGGCAAGCAATCAGTACTCGGGGAGCAGGCTACGTAATGGCAGAACACATCTGCTCCTCTAAGTGCAATCAGGAACCCATCATCCCCTGCCGACTCGGAGCAGGCTACGTAAATTGGCCGGAGAAGCACTGCTCCTCTAAGTGTATGCAGTATGCATTATGGGCAAGCAATCAGGAACACATCATCACCCCTGCCGACTCGGGAGCAGGCTACGTAAATTTGGCCGTATGAGAAGCACTGCTCCTCTAAGTGTATGCAGTATAGGCAAGCAATCAGGAACACATCATCATCCCTGCCGACTCGGGAGCAGGCTACGTAAATTTGGCCGTATGAGAAGCGCTGCTCCTCTAAGTGTATGCAGTATGGGCAAGCAATCAGGAACACATCATCACCCCTGCCGACTCGGGAGCAGGCTACGTAATTTGGCCGTATGAGAAGCGCTGCTCCTCTAAGTGTATGCAGTATGGGCAAGCAATCAGGAACACATCATCACCCCTGCTGACTCAGGAGCAGGCTACGTAAATTTGGCGTATGAGAAGCACTGCTCCTCTAAGTGTATGTATGCAGTATGGGCAAGCAATCAGGAACACATCATCACCCCTGCCGACTCGGGAGCAGGCTACGTAAATTGGCCGTTATGAAGCACTGCTCCTCTAAGTGTATGCAGTATGGGCAAGCAATCAGAACACATCATCACCCCCTGCCGACTCGGGAGCAGGCTACGTAAATTTGGCCGTATGAGAAGCGCTGCTCCTCTAAGTGTATGCAGTATGGGCAAGCAATCAGGAACACATCATCACCCCTGCCGACTCGGGAGCAGGCTACGTAAATTTGGCCGTATGAGAAGCGCTGCTCCTCTAAGTGTATGCAGTATGGGCAAGCAATCAGGAACACATCATCACCCCTGCCGACTCGGGAGCAGGCTACGTAAATTTGGCCGTATGAGAAGCGCTGCTCCTCTAAGTGTATGCAGTATGGGCAAGCAATCAGGAACACATCATCACCCCTGCCGACTCGGGAGCAGGCTACGTAATTTGGCCGTATGAGAAGCGCTGCTCCTCTAAGTGTATGCAGTATGGGCAAGCAATCAGGAACACATCATCACCCCCTGCCGACTCGGGAGCAGGCTACGTAATTTGGTTGCATGAGAAGCGCTGCTCCTCTAAGTGTATGCAGTATGGTATGCAAGCAATCAGGAACACATCATCACCCCTGAAACTCGGGAGCAGGCTACGTAAATTTGGCCGTATGAGAAGCGCTGCTCCTCTAAGTGTATGCAGTATAGGCAAGCAATCAGGAACACATCATCACCCTGCCGACTCGGGAGCAGGCTACGTAAATTTTGCTGCATGAAGCAAGCTGCATCTCTCTAAGTGTATGCAGTATGGCAGTATGGGCAAGCAATCAGGAACACATCATCACCCCTGCCGACTCGGGGAGCAGGCTACGTAAATTTGGCTGTATGAGAAGCGCTGCCCTCTAAGTGTATGCAGTATGCAGTATGGGGCAAGCAATCAGGAACACATCATCACCCCTGCCGACTCGGGAGCAGGCTACGTAATTTGGCGTAGGCTGAAAGGCAGTATGCAGTATGGGCAAGCAATCAGGAACACATCATCACCCCTGCCGACTCGGGAGCAAGGAGAAGGCTAAGTGTATGCAATATAGGCAAGCAAGAAGCCCGTATGAGGAGAAGCGCTGCTCCTCTAAGTGTATGCAGTATGGGCAAGCAATCAGGAACACATCATCACCCCTGCCGACTCGGGAGCAGGCTACGTAAATTTGGCCGTAGAAGGCTGCTCACCCTCTAAGTGTATGCAGTATGGGCAAGCAATCAGGAACACATCATCACCCCTGCCGACTCGGGAGCAGGCTACGTAAATTTGGCTGTATGAGAAGCACTGCTCCTCTAATGTATGCAGTATGGGCAAGCAATCAGGAACACATCATCACCCCTGCCGACTCGGGAGCAGGCTACGTAAATTTGGCCGTATGAGAAGCGCTGCTCCTCTATGTATGCAGTATGGGCAAGCAATCAGGAACACATCATCACCCCTGCCGACTCGGGAGCAGGCTACGTAAATTTGGCCGTATGAAGGAGCTCCTCTAAGTCTATGCATGCAGTATGGGCAAGCAATCAGGAACACATCATCACCCCCTGCCGACTCGGGGCAGGCTACGTAAATTTGGCGTATGAGAAGCGCTGCTCCTCTGTGTATGCAGTATGGGCAAGCAATCAGACACATCATCACCCCTGCCGACTCAGGCTACTAAATTTGGCCGTATGCGCTGTATGCAGTATGGGCAAGCAATCAGGAACACATCATCACCCCCTGCCGACTCGGGAGCAGGCTACGTGGCCGTATGAGAATTTGGCCGTATGCAGAAGCGCTGCTCCTCTCGGGAAGTGTAGCGCTGCAGTATGGGCAAGCAATCAGGAACACATCATCACCCTGCCGACTCGGGAGCAGGCTACGTAAATTTGGCCGTATGAGAAGCACTGCTCCTCTAAGTGTATGCGGTATGCAGTATGGGCAGTATGGGCAATCAGGAACACATCATCACCCCTGCCGACTCGGGAGCAGGCTACGTAAATTTGGCCGTATGAGAAGCGCTGCTCCTCTAAGTGTATGCAGTATGGGCAAGCAATCAGGAACACATCATCACCCTGCCGACTCAGGGAGCAGGCTACGTAATTTGGCCGTATGAGAAGCGCTGCTCCTCTAAGTGTGTATGCAGTATGGGCAAGCAATCAGGAACACATCATCCCCCTGCCGACTCGGGGAGCAGGCTTGTAATGTAAATTTGGTGGCCGTATGAGAAGGCACTGCTCCTCTAAATTTGTGTATGCAGTATGGGCAAGCAATCAGGAACACATCATCACCCCTGCCGACTCGGGGAGCAGGCTACGTAAATTTGGCCGTATGAGAAGCGCTGCTCCTCTAAGTGTATGCAGTATGGGCAAGCAATCAGGAACACATCATCACCCCTGCCGACTCGGGAGCAGGCTACGTAAATTTGGCCGTATGAGAAGCGCTGCTCCTCTAAGTGTATATGCAGTATGGGCAAGCAATCAGGAACACATCATCACCCTGCCGACTCGGGAGCAGGTTACAGCCGTATGAGAACGCTGCTCATCTCCCTAAGTGTATGCAGTATGCAGTATGGGCAATCAGGAACACATCATCCCCTGACTCAGGAGCAGGCTACGAATTTGGCCGTATGAGAAGCGCTGCTCCTCCTCTAAGTGTATGCAGTATGGGCAAGCAATCAGGAACACAATCACCCCTGCCGACCTGGGAAGGCTACATCATGAGAAGCACCTGCCGTATGCAGTATGGGCAAGCAATCAGGAACACATCATCACCCCTGCCGACTCGGGAGCAGGCTACGTAATTTGGCCGTGAGAAGCACTGCTCCTGTATGAGAAGCGCTGCATCCTCTAAGTGTATGCAGTATGAGGCGCTGCAATCAGGAATGACATCATCATCCCTGCCGACTCGGGGGAGCAGGCTACGTAAATTTGGCCGTATGAAGCGCTGCTCCTCTAAGTGTATGCAGTATGGGCAAGCAATCAGGAACACATCATCACCCCTGCCGACTCGGGAGCAGGCTACGTAATTTGGCCGTATGAGACTGCTCCTCTAAGTGTATGTATGCAGTATGGGCAAGCAATCAGGGAACACATCATCACCCCTGCCGACTCAGGACAGGCTACGTAAATTGGCCGTATGAGAAGCGCTGCTCCTCTAAGTGTATGCAGTATGGGCAAGCAATCAGGAACACATCATCACCCCTGCCGACTCGGGAGCAGGCTACGCCGTAGAAACTGCTCCTTGGCGTATGCCAGTATGGGCAAGCAAAGCACTCATCACCCCTGCCGACTCGGGAGCAGGCCAAGCGCTGCTACTAAGTGTATGCAGTATGCAGTATGGGCAAGCAATCAGGAACACATCATCACCCCTGCCGACTCGGGAGCAGGCTACGTAAATTTGGCCGTATGAAGCGCTGCTCCTCTTGGTATGGGCAAATCAAGGAACACATCATCACCCACCGACTCGGGAGGCTACGTAAATCTAAGTGAGAATGCTCCTCTAAGTGTATGTATGCAGTATGGGCAAGCAATCAGGAACACATCATCACCCCTGCCGACTCGGGAGCAGGCTACGTAAATTTGGCCGTGAGAAGCGCTGCTCCTCTAAGTGTATGCAGTATGGGCAAGCAATCAGGAACATCATCCCCCCTGCCGACTCGGGAGCAGGCTATAAATTTGAAGAAGCTGCTCTCTAAGTGTATGGTATGGGCAGCAATCAGAACACATCATCACCCCTGCGCCGACCTGGGAGCAGGCTACACTCTAATTTGTATGTATGGAGAAGCAATCTGCTCCTCTCAAATGTATCGGGGCAGATGGCCAGAAGCGCTGGCAATCAGAACACATCATCATCACCCCTGCCGACTCGGGAGCAGGCTAAATTTGGCCGTATGAAGCGCTGCTCCTCTAAGTGTATGCAGTATGGGCAAGCAATCAGGAACACATCATCACCCCTGCCGACTCGGGAGCAGGCTACGTAATTTGGCCGTGTATGAGAAGCGCTGCTCCTCTAAGTGTATGCAGTATGGGCAAGCAATCAGGAACACATCATCACCCCTGCCGACTCGGGAGCAGGCTACGTGCTCCCTCTAATTATGCAGTATATGAGAAGCACTGCTCCTCTAAGTGTATGCAGTATGGGCAAGCAATCAGGAACACATCATCACCCCTGCCGACTCGGGAGCAGGCTACGTAAATTTGGCCGTATGAGAAGCGCTGCTCCTCTAAGTGTATGCAGTATGCAGTATGGGCAAGCAATCAGGAACACATCATCACCCCCTGCTGACTCGGGGAGTACCGCAATTTGGGAGCAGGCTACGTGCTCCTCTTGGCGGTATGAAGAACGCATGCACCCCTCTAAGTGAAGCGCCCTGCATGTATGGGCAAGCAATCAGGAACACATCATCATCCCTGCCGACTCGGGAGCAGGCTACGTAATTTGGCCGTATGAAGCGCTGCTCCTCTAAGTGTATGCAGTATGGGCAAGCAATCAGGAACACATCATCACCCCTGCCGCTCGGGAGCAGGCTACGTAAATTTGGCGTATGAGTAGCGCTGCTCCTCTAAGTGTATGCAGTATGGGCAAGCAATCAGGAACACATCATCACCCCTGCCGACTCGGGAGCAGGCTACGTAATTTGGCCGTATGAGAAGCACTGCTCCTCTAAGTGTATGCAGTATGCAGTATGGGCAAGCAATCAGGAACACATCATCACCCCTGCCGACTCGGGAGCAGGCTACGTAAATTTGGCCAGTATGTATGCTCCTCTAAGTGTATGAAGTATGGGCAAGCAACTGCTCCTCTAAGGTAGCGCTGCTCCTCTAAAGTATGCAGTATGGGCAAGCAATCAGGAACACATCATCCCCCTGCTGACTCGGGAGCAGGCTACGTAATTTGGCCGTATGAGAAGCGCTGCTCCTCTAAGTGTATACGGTAGCCAGGGGCAAGCAATCAGGAACACATCATCACCCCTGCCGATGGAGCAGGCTACGTAATTTGGCTGTAAGGAGAATCTAAGTGTGTGCAGTATGCAGTATGGGCAAGCAATCAGGAACACATCATCACCCCTGCCGACTCGGGAGCAGGCTACGTAAATTGGCCGTATGAGAAGCACTGCTCCTCTAAGTGTATGCGGTATGCAGTATGGGCAAGCAATCAGGAACACATCATCACCCCTGCCGACTCGGGAGCAGGCTACGTAAATTTGGCCGTAGGAGAAGCGCTGCTCCTCTAAGTGTATGCAGTATGGGCAAGCAATCAGGAACATCATCATGCCACCCCTGCTAAGGTACGTAAATTTGGCTGTATGGAGAAGCACTGAGTATGGGGCAATCAGAACACATCATCATCCCCTGCCGACTCGGGGGCAGGCATTCTGGCCGTGCGCTGCTCCTCTAAGTGTATGCAGTATAGGCAAGCAATCTGAACACATCATCACCCTGCCGACTCTCTGGGAGCAGGCTACGTAAGTGTATGCAGCGCTGTCCTCTAAGTGTATGCAGTATGGGCAAGCAATCAGGAACACATCATCACCCCTGCCGACTCGGGAGCAGGCTACGTAAATTTGGCCGTATGAGAAGCACTGCTCCTCTAAGTGTATGCAGTATGCAGTATGGGCAAGCAATCAGGAACACATCATCACCCCTGCCGACTCGGGAGCAGGCTACGTAAATTTGGCCGTATGAGAAGCACTGCTCCTCTAAGTGTATGCAGTATGCAGTATGGGCAAGCAATCAGGAACACATCATCACCCCTGCCGACTCGGGAGCAGGCTACGTAAATTTGGCCGTATGAGAAGCGCTGCTCCTCTAAGTGTATGCAGTATGGGCAAGCAATCAGGAACACATCATCACCCCTGCCGACTCGGGAGCAGGCTACGTAAATTTATGAGGAAGCACTGCTCCTCTAAGTGTATGAGCAGTATGGGCAAGCAATGAACACATCATCACCCCTGCCGACTCAGGGGCAGGCTACGTATGGCCGTAGGCTGCAGTATGCAGTATGGGCAAGCAATCAGGAACACATCATCACCCCTGCCGACTCGGGAGCAGGCTACGTAAATTTGGCCGTATGAGAAGCACTGCTCCTCTAAGTGTATGCAGTATGCAGTATGGGCAAGCAATCAGGGAACACATCATCACCCCTGCCGACTCGGGAGCAGGCTACGTAATTTGGCCGTATGAGAAGCACTGCTCCTCTAAGTGTATGCAGAATGCAGTATGGGCAAGCAATCAGGAACACATCATCACCCCTGCCGACTCGGGAGCAGGCTACATGGTATGAGAAGCGCTGCTCCTCTAAGGTATGCAGTATGGGCAAGCAATCAGGAACACATCATCACCCCTGCCGACTCGGGAGCAGGCTACGTAAATTTGGCCGTATGAGAAGCACTGCTCCTCTAAGTGTGCAGTATGCAGTATGGGCAAGCAATCAGGAACACATCATCACCCCTGCCGACTCGGGAGCAGGCTACGTAAATTTGGCTGTATGAGAAGCACTGCTCCTCTAAGTGTATGCAGTATGCAGTATGGGCAAGCAATCAGGAACACATCATCACCCCTGCCGACTCGGGAGCAGGCTACGTAAATTTGGCGTATGAGAAGCACTGCTCCTCTAAGTGTATGAATGCGGTATGGGCAACAATCAGGAACACATCATCACCCCTGCCGACTCGGGAGCAGGCTACGTATTGGCCGTAGAAGCGCTGCTCCTCTAATGGTATGCAGTATGGGCAAGCAATCAGGAACACATCATCACCCCTGCCGACTCGGGAGCAGGCTACGTAATTTGGCCGTATGAGAAGCACTGCTCCTCTAAGTGTATGCAGTATGCAGTATGGGCAAGCAATCAGGAACACATCATCACCCCTGCCGACTCGGGAGCAGGCTACGTAAATTTGGCCGTATGAGAAGCACTGCTCCTCAAAGTGTATGCAGTATGGGCAAGCAATCAGGAACACATCATCACCCCTGCCGACTCCGGGAGCAGGCTACGTAAATTTGGCTGCATGAGAAGCACTGCTCCTCTAAGTGTATGCAGTATGCAGTATGGGCAAGCAATCAGGAACACATCATCACCCCTGCCGACTCGGGAGCAGGCTACGTAAATTTGGCTGTATGAGAAGCACTGCTCCTCAAAGTGTGCATGCAGTATGGGCAAGCAATCAGAACACATCATCACCCCTGCTGACTCGGGAGCAGGCTACGTAAATTTGGCCCGTATGAGAAGCACTGCTCCCTCTAAGTGTATGCAGTATGGGCAAGCAATCAGAACACATCATCACCCCTGCCGACTGGGGAGCAGGCTACGTAAATTTGGTTGTATGGAGAAGCACTGCTCCTCTAATGTATGCAGTATGCAGTATGGGCAAGCAATCAGGAACACATCATCACCCTGCCGACTCGGGGAGCAGGCTACGTAAATTTGGCCGTATGAGAAGCACTGCTCCTCTAAGTGTATGTATGCAGTATAGGCAAGCAATCAGGAACACATCATCACCCCTGCCGACTCGGGAGCAGGCTACGTAATTTGGCTGTATGAGAAGCACTGCTCCTCTAAGTGTATGCAGTATGCAGTATGGGCAAGCAATCAGGAACACATCATCACCCCTGCCGACTCGGGAGCAGGCTACGCAATTTGGTCGTATGAGAAGCACTGCTCCTCTAAGTGTATGCAGTATGCAGTATGCAGCCGACTCGGGATGTAAAATTGGCAAAGCAATCAGGAACACATCATCACCCCTGCCGACTCGGGGAGCAGGCTACGTAATTTGGCTGTATGAGAAGCACTGCTCCTCTAAGGGTACATGCAGTATGGGCAAGCAATCAGGAACACATCATCACCCCTGCCGACTCGGGAGCAGGCTACGTAAATTTGGCCTGTATGAGAAGCACTGCTCCTCTAAGTGTATGCAGTATGCAGTATGGGCAAGCAATCAGGAACACATCATCACCCCTGCCGACTCGGGAGCAGGCTACGTAAATTTGGCCGTAAAAGGAGAAGCGCTGCTCCTCTTGTATGCAGTATGGGCAAGCAATGAGAAGCACTGCTGAGAAGCACTGCTCTCTGTGTATGCAGTATGCAGTATGGGCAAGCAATCAGGAACACATCACCCCTGCCGACTCGGGAGCAGGCTACGTAAATTTGGCCGTATGAGAAGCACTGCTCCTCTAAGTGTACAGTATGCAGTGGGCAAGCAATCAGGAACACATCATCACCCCTGCCGACTGGGAGCAGGCTACGTAAATTTGGCCGTATGAGAAGCACTGCTCCTCTAAGTGTATGCAGTATGCAGTATGGGCAAGCAATCAGGAACACATCATCACCCCTGCCGACTCGGGAGCAGGCTACGTAAATTTGGCCGTATGAGAAGCACTGCTCTTCTAAGTATGCAGTACAAGCAATCAGAACACATCATCACCCCCTGCCGACTCGGGGAGCAGGCTACGTAATTTGCGAAAAGGAGAAGTACTGCTCCTCTAAGTGTATGCATGCAGTATGGGCAAGCAATCAGGAACACATCATCACCCCTGCCTGGACTCGGGAGCAGGCTACTAATGTAAATTTGGCCGTATGAGAAGCACTGCTCCTCTAAGTGTATGCAGTATGCAGTATGGGCAAGCAATCAGGAACACATCATCACCCCTGCCGACTCGGGAGCAGGCTACGTAAATTTGGTCGTATGAGAAGCACTGCCCTCTAAGTGTATGCAGTATGCAGTATGGGCAAGCAATCAGAACACATCATCACCCCTGCCGACTCGGGAGCAGGCTACGTAAATTTGGCCTGTATGAGAAGCACTGCTCCTCTAAGTGTATGCAGTATGCAGTATGGGCAAGCAATCAGGAACACATCATCACCCCTGCCGACTCGGGAGCAGGCTACGTAAATTTGGCCGTATGAGAAGCACTGCTCCTCTAAGTGTATGCAGTATGGGCAAGCAATCAGGAACACATCATCACCCCTGCCGACTCGGGAGCAGGCTACGTAAATTTGGCTGTATGAGAAGCACTGCTCCTCTAAGTGTATGCAGTATGCAGTATGGGCAAGCAATCAGGAACACATCATCACCCCTGCCGACTCGGGAGCAGGCTACGTAAAGCACTGCTCCTCTAAGTGTATGCAGTATAGCATGGGCAAGCAATCAGGAACACATCATCACCCCTGCCGACTCGGGAGCAGGCTACGTAATTTGGCCGTATGAGAAGCACTGCTCCTCTAAGTGTATGCAGTATGCAGTATGGGCAAGCAATCAGGAACACATCATCACCCCTGCCGACCTCGGGAGCAGGCTACGTAAATTTGGCCGTGATGAGAAGCACTCCTCTAAGTGTATGCAGTATGCAGTATGGGCAAGCAATCAGGAACACATCATCACCCCTGCCGACTCGGGAGCAGGCTACGTAAATTTGGCTGTAAGGAGAAGCACTGCTCCTCTAATGTATGCAGTATGCAGTATGGGCAAGCAATCAGGAACACATCATCACCCCTGCCGACTCGGGGAGCAGGCTACGTAAATTTGGCTGTATGAGAAGCACTGCTCCTCTAAGTGTATGCAGTATGCAGTATGGGCAAGCAATCAGGAACACATCATCACCCCTGCCGACTCGGGAGCAGGCTACGTAAATTTAAAGGAGAAGCACTGCTCCTCTAAGTGTATGCAGTATGCAGTATGGGGCAATCAGGAACACATCAACCCCCTGCCGACTCGGGAGCAACACTGTATGAGAAGCACTGCTCCTCTAAGTGCCGCAGTATAGGCAAGCAATCAGAACACATCATCACCCCTGCCGACTCGGGGAGCAGGCTACGTAATTTGGCCGTATGAGAAGCACTGCCCCTCTGGTGTATGCAATATAGGCAAGCAATCAGGAACACATCATAGCGCCTGCCGACTCGGGAGCAGGCTACGTAAATTTGCCGTATGAGAAGCACTGCTCCTCTAAGTGTATGCAGTATGGGCAATCAATCAGAACACATCATCACCCCTGCCGACTCGGGAGCAGGCTACGTAATTTGGCCGTATGAGAAGCACTGCTCCCTCTAAGTGTATGCAGTATGCAGTATGGGCAAGCAATCAGGAACACATCATCACCCCTGCCGACTCGGGAGCAGGCTACGTAAATTTGGCCGTATGAGAAGCGCTGCTCCTCTAAGTGTACACCAGTGACAGACAGTGTTTGTCCTTGGGCCTTATTAATTGCCATATCAAAACAGGGTGCGACTGGCAATTGGGATCTTCTGAAAGTGAAGGGTAAATCGGCATGTGATGGATATAAATGCATCCTTGAGATAAGCACTTGCTCCCGTTTACCGCATTACTGTGAAGCATTGAACACATAGCCAACCAATGTAGAAGCATCAATTTTCTCTCCTCACATCACCATACCATATGTAGAGAAATGGATGATCCCGCCCAGATTACGGGCCCTTTCAAAAATGCGTGCGAGACCCCTTCGTTCAACAAAAATCGATAAAAATCTCCGGTTCGACCCTGCCATCAACTGTCAGTTTTTGACTTTCTTTTCACGCCCAGGCTGCAATTAACGTCAAATGTCGATTCATCTTCCAACATTTAGGCGTCAATTCGTAACGGAGGCAGATTTTCAATTTGGACTCAGGCTTTCAAAAAATTGGTAAATCGGCTGGTACTCCGGTATTTGGGCGGATTACATTCTAAAATTTCGTGCGTTCTTTACAATTCAACCAGAAATTTCTACATGTCCCAGTTAGTGGTGCTTTGCATAGAATGCCGTGTGACCCCGTCGTGACTCAAAAATCGATATAAACCTCCGTGTTGACCATGCCCTCAGCAGTCCATTTCCCACTTCTTTAAACTTTGTTCTTTTCTCCCAGGCCGCATCCTCATTTGTCAGCCCGATTTTTTTTATTTGGGACACAAACTTTGTAAAAAACCGATTAACTCACATGTGATACGGATTTTGGGGGTTTTAAGTTGAATGTCTCGCCTGCATTACGCGGCGCAATGAATCTAAGCTTTTCACCTCATTTTGGACTCTTCGCATTGTTAAACACTTTTGAGATTTTTTTATTTGAACTTAAAATCGGATCAATGTATGGTTTCCAAAGTACCGGCTTAACAAAACAAGAGCAACAACAACCCCGCCCAAGTAGTATGACCAGTCTCAATATTTCAGGAAACTGGGTTGGGTGTGAAAAAGTATTTGTTGTTAACATTGTTTTTTCATTCGGTATTTCCAGTTACGAGTCCTTTTTAAAACTGATCGTTTAGTGTTCATTTTGTTTAGTTCTTTTTTCGTAACAGATTTAATGTTTAATATAGAGCTTAGAAAAAATTCACTGTGTGAGATAGGCAAGAAGTAAGGCATGTAGCAACATCAGTACGGCAAAGGGCACTCCTTTAAAGGCAAGGAAGGGCAAAAATATTTTAAGTCAAGTGATATCGATTGCTGTATGAGTCGTACGATTTTTGAATCAAGCACGGACAACGGCAGGCAATGCTGCTATATATATATATATATATATATATATATATATATATATATATATATATATATATACTAGCATATATATATATATATATATATATATACTAGCATATATATATAAGGGGAGAAAGATATGCTTGTGCGTTTGTGTGTCAATTTAAGTGCGTTAAGTGCCTTCTAGGATTTGCGGACAAATGTTTACATGGATATTTTTCCTTGAGAAACCGCCAGTTTTATATATATATATATATATATATATATATATATATATATATTGAGAGAGAGAGTGTGAGAGGGGGAGTGAGAGAGAGAGAGAGAGAGAGACAATGCCCTTGTTCACTTTTATATGCTACCGAGTGAACGGTATTTTACCGAGTATATATGCTTCTGCATTTTCTCCTCGCATAAAGAAAATCGGTAGTAGCAACAGCAGTTAAAATTTCATTTCCGAGGAACAAAGAATATTCTTCCAAAATAACTGCGACTTTTTTTTCATATAAATTAACTTATAATTAAATGCGTATTTTCAGCAAATGTAGTTTCCCTAGGTTCTTATTTTCATATGTACCATACTATTTCTTGATGTCGTCGATCATAGCTCTCACTAATTTTACATCCTTTGCAGTTTCACGAAAGTTTTGCTCCACATGGAACGACAGACCATTCTCTTAATTTGATGCCGAACTAAATGCTTCTTATGTTATTGCGTTCTATTGAACGATTTTTTGCTACACAGTAGCAAACTGGGACAACTTGACGTCTTACATGGCAGAAAGTTTCAAAGAATTTGCCTCCAAAACTTTTTCTCTGGTCTCAGAAAATATCCTTTCTGAAATATAGAGTTTAATGCCCCAGACATAATTCCAGCAAAAATCTGACAGACTGCTTTTGCATAGCTTCCAAAAGGAATATATTTACAAGCAGTCTACAATAATGTTGAAATCAAACAAATTGGATCTTAAGAGTTCTGGAATAAGAGGTAAAACCTCTCCGCCCGCTGTTATAAATGGGATCGAGGTTATTTCTTCCTTGTTAGATAACGCGAAGCACTTCACCTTGATCTTTGTCTGTAACTAAACGTTAGATGACATATGCTATCCTCTCTTCGACTTGCCCTATTTCACTGAGCACAATGTTAATAGTATTTTTATTACAGCCCAGTAAGTCTCAAGCCTTATCAAAATCTTGAAACAAAAACACCACTGGCCCAGACAAAATCCCTGTGGTTGTCCTTAAAAATATCAACCCAGACTTATCCCAGATATTAACGAAATGATTTACCTACTGATTAAATGAGAAATGATTCCGGAGTCTTTGGAAAGTGCCACGTGTATTCCAGTTTATTTTAAGTGTATGCCTTTTTTATTCTCAGTCTGAGTAAATACCCATCAGCCTCATTAGAAAGCTTTTTGAGCCTATAATCAATACATTTGTTGGTCGCCTAAATAATAACAACCTCTTGACCTTCAAGGTGTACGGGTTTCGATCGACCCAGTCCTCCTCTGATGTTATAACTACAAATAGTCACAAAATTATTGTTGCTCTAGATAACAAATCCATTTCAAGGACTAAGATATTAGACA